GCTTTTAGTATCTCTTGTATTTTCTTTAGAAGAAATTTATAACCTTTTTTATGTATTTGTTAAGATATGAGTAGATTTTTCGCTAATACTTACGTGAAAGTCGAAAATTGCTAAAAGAGTTGATTTTGAACTTTCTCAAAGATTTGCTTTTTCTGTTATAAGAAAACAATTTTAATCAATTGACCTTTATAGCTAACAAGCTAGAGAATTTCAAAAGTTCAAGCGCATTTCTAAAAACAATCCTCTATTCGTTTGCTTGACAGTATCGTCTCATATAAGGATTTAAGCTTATCTAATAGAATTTATCAACCTTAAATCTCATTAAATTATTCTATTTTTTGATAAATACAGCTAAGCCATTTTGGTTTTTTCCAGTAAATCTTCCGTTTCAGATGATATTAATAAGGCTTCTGAAAATCCAAACATCCATTGGTTCTGTAGCTGAGTTTTGCATGTACATACAGTCAGGGAAAAATAATGCAAACATACCTTAAAGACTGTTGTGAAGTAGGGTGAAAGATCAGTCGACTCATCATCGAGTAGAGGAATATGAAGCACCTTCATATGACTTGGAGCAGAGATACGAAAACCAGGGATGAGATTTATAGTCGTACAAAACCGAGCTGAAATTTTCGTATTAAAGTTAGAAATAAGCAAAATCTGGCGCATTTCCTCTAAGGATGTCTGCTTTCCACCGAGGATAAGAAATAGATATTTCATATTGAAAGTGTTGTGGAAAAGTGTATAGGGGTAGAGAATGTGACCTGCTTTCTCAAACTTTCACGAAAACAGGCTTGAGATACAGAGACTGTTCTTCCTTTCAACATTTGAAACTGCCACTTTTTTAAAGAAAAAGATTAAGTTAAAAGGTCGAAAAAATTGCTGACTATGTGTCGTTATAACTCAATAAACAGTAATCACTGCGATATGCATGTATTATACGATATATACTTCAGTGTATGCAAATGAGGACTAACTAAACCTTACGAGTTTTACCCGCAAGATAGGTAATTAGTCTCGAAGTTGCTTTCACTTGAAACCAGAAAATTTTTTAAATCGTGTGCATGGCCTTGTGAGAAATGTGAAAGTGAGATTATTGAAGTACGAAAAGCAACGGAAATTCATAGAAGCCTTACATAAAGCCTTGAATGTTTCCAGAAATCTACCGAACTCTGTATAATTCCTAGAAAAATTTTAAGCATTTTAAAAACGCTTGAATTCTGCAAAGATTCTATACAACAAATTTGCTATGTACAGGAGTTTGGAGCAGATAGCTATGTTAGCAAATTTATCTATCCAGCAATAATTTTACCTTGGGACCCGGGTCCGAGAGGTTATGCTTTTTTGCTTTTTAAGAAGTTATTCTCAACTTTTTCGGCCCATAGTTAATCGATGTTTACGCTCTGGCGGTGGTAGAGTAATGAAGGGTGTATTGCAATCGGCCAGGTGAACTTCCGGCATACGGCGCCATTGGCACAGCTCAATAACC